TCTCTCTCTCTCTCTCTCTCTCTCTCTCTCTCTCTCTCTCTCTCTCTCACACACACACACACACACACACACACACACACACACACACACACAATGTTGGCTTATTTCCCTCACTTACTTTGCTGATGTGGTTATTAATGATGCCATCAAGCCTTGATTCATATCTCCATTAGATTTCAGCCAATAGCTTGCTGTATTGATGCGAATCTTTCTTTCCAACACCATATAAAATACTATTCTCCCATCTCTGTCATCAAATTTTTTTGTCTTCCTAGTATACCTCACCAGAAGGCAAGTATTTACAGGAATCACCTCTAGATTCTTGTATTTGTGTGAACAATTCCCCCAGGACATATTCCTGTTCTTGCAACTTGGCAGTGGAATACCCCCTCATGGCCTCCATGGTAAGTCTATGTGGTAATGAGTTTGTTAATGAAGTTGATTTTATCAGTTATTTATTTGTGTATTTGCCTCAAACATCATGTTTAATGCTATAAATAGTTAAATTTTTCTCAGAGAAGCTTTTTCCTGCTGCCTTCAGAGAAGTGAAGAAAGTCAAGCAGACCCTGTAATAAGGATACGTAATTGAAACTTTACTTCTCCCTTATACAGTTCCATATGGATCATGGTTTGAGCACATCCGTGGCTGGCTGTCCATGAGAGAATGGGACAACTTCCTGGTGCTCTACTATGAAGACATGAAAAAGGTGAGTATCAATCATACAGTCACCACACAATGAAAAACTAGATCCAAGTAATGAGGAATGTTATTGAGAACTGTGATTTTTATGTTTGTTCTGACACTTTAAAAGTTATCTTTTATTAATTAAAAAACACCACTGATCTAACTTATCTCGCAAGTAGTACACCAGTATAGGTAGAAGAATTTGTGTCTAGCTTGGTTTTTATATTTCTCTTTGTGGAGCATACAAAGTGCCTTTCTGTCTTAAAGAACTAGGTTGTAAGGGTAGAGGTTCTTTATAGGTACTAGGTTGACATCGTCACATTCAGTAATTTCTATAGGTGTTTTTTGCAATGAGGTCTTGCTGTCAGTTTGTGGAGAGCAACTTATAGTCTTTGCAACAGTCTGGGCTTATTGAGAGTGATTCCCATGGAGTCCATATACCCAAAATCTCAATGATGTAACCCAATCCTAGTACTGTAATTTTTCATTCATTCATTCACTCATTTATGCATTTATTTATTTATTCATTTATTTATTTATTTATTTATTCCTTTCTCTTTGTTTCTTTGTTTCTTTCTTTCTTTCTTTTCTCTCTCTTTCTTTCATTCTTTCCATCTTTGTGACAACAGATGTCCATAATCTGGTGATTTCACTCTGACCACCTTCATATACACATAGATTTTAGGAAGTTTCCACAGTACTAGGGTTCAATACTACCTTTCAAATATGTCTTAATTTTACCTGCATTTCCCTGTACTCCCTTCCCCAACTCCCTGTCCCTTCCCCTCTCCTACTTGTTTCCAGCATCCTAGCTCTTGCATATCCGTTCATAATTTATTGTGTACATTTAATGTTTTGATGACTATGTGATCAGGGGACTCCCTTTTCTGGTCCAATCTACTTGTTGTTCTGTATTCTTCACGAACTTTGATAGGCATCTTTTTCTTTAGGTTAGTATTTCTTTTTATGATTTTGTTGAAAATATTTTCTGTGACTTTCATGTGGGTTCCTTTTATACTTCTATCCCTATTATTTATACATCAGGTGTTTTCAAAATAGTGACCCAGATTTCCTGGATATAATGTGCCAGGAGGTTTAAATATGTAATGTTTTCTTTAATGTATTTATTTCTTCTACTGTGTCTTCAATACAAAAAGTTCCCATTCTATCTAACTACTTGTTGGTGAAGAATGCCTCTGAGTTACCTGTTTGAGTTCCTGAAATTTTCATTTTGAGATTTTCTTAATTTGGGTTTTCGGTATTGATTCTATTTCTACCTAGTTGGAAATCAGTTTAATTCATTTCTTTCCACTGTTTCATTGTGGTTTCATAGATTGCTTTAAGAGATATATTCATTTCCTCTTAAAAAACTACTATTATATTCATAAAAGCTGATTTAAGGATTTTCCCTTGTGCCTCAGCTATGGTGAAATATCCAGGGTGTTCTGTGTTATGAGTGCTGGGATCTAGTATAGATATATTGTCCTGGTGGTTATTGATTTTATTTTTACACTGGCATTTAGGCATCTTAGATTAGGAATACAATAATTCTAGGTGTTGAAATCTGGTCTTGTCTTTATTGGGTAGGAGTTTTGTACCCTGGCTTTTGTTTCACTCTGTTTATTAGGAGAATGAGGTAGCTCTATGTTGCCTGTAGAAACTACATTAGGGTACCAGATAAGATGTGTTTATTGGTTGTGGGACCAGAGACTTAGGAATAGAGATGGGCTAGGCTCAATAGAGGGATTTCACAACAGGGAAGAAAACAGGGTGTTTCACCAGGATCTGCAAAGTCAGTCTCCTTGGAATGGGGACATATAATGAGGAAAGGCCACAGCAGAAGGTTTGATAAAGAGGTAGGGATGAGACTCAGGTATTAGACTTGAAGAATGGACAAAGAGATGAAGTCTGACAATGTAACCTAATTGCTTCCCTTGTCATAACAGGCTTTGGCTTCCTCAAGAGTGTATTCTGGAATCAGGGGCTGGGGTAAAGCAATTCACTTCCCAAAGTTTGGAGTTCCTTTGCAGAGATAAGAATGAGACTGGGTAATTGGATTTGGAGATATGCTAGGAAAAGTGAAGATCAATCTGCAGATAGCCTATCTGTATGGAGGCTGGGATAATGCAATGAGTTGAGGGAGCAATATTAGAAGGGAAAGATCTTTGTACTTACTAGAGAAGGGAAGTGCTACCACAAGTTTTCTGCTGCAGAGCTAAGGATAACTTGGGCATAGGATCTGGAAAAGCACGGGAAATGTGAAGGTCTGTTGTCAGCCTACCAGCTTCCCTAAAGGGATGGAGAAAAGTAGTTTTTAATAAAAAATTAAACCAAAAAAAGTTTAAAAAAATAAAAAATTAAAAATTAAAGCACTACCAAACAAAACAAAAAAGATGAAATTATTCAAAATTGATTTGACCTTAGTGTTATCTCTCAGGAAGCAAAAGTTTACATGTAAAGACACAACTTTAATCACACTATTTTTCCAATATGTAGACTCTTTTATTTAATCTTCATTAAATTCAATTTTCCCTAGGATGGATCGCTACTTATCTGTCTGCTGCACACTAGTACAGATTTCCATAAGGCATCTTTCTGACAATTTTACCCATTATTATCAGTTATTGACATAATTGTTTACTTTCCTATGAAAAATTAAGTAGAAATGTGATAAATATGTAAAAATGTTTTAAACCAAAAAAACCTCATGAGTCCAGGGAGAGGACTATTCAAATCACAAATTTTGGTGTTCTAAGATTTTGCCTGGTGATGACTTTCTCCTAGGATTAAACTAATTGTTGTAGTACACAGATATTCTTGCAACAATTAGAGATCTGAGACAGAAAAAAGTTGTGATTTTGATGCCCATCTGAGCTGTAACCTGAGATGCTTACTCAAAACAAAGTCTCTGAGAAGTACTTCAAGTAATAAATATTGAGAACATTATTGTGAAACTCTTGTAAAACTGTATTGTTTTCAGTTAGCTTAAGCAAACCTTATTATCTGGCATAAACAATAATCTATTTGAGGTCTTTGGGCACATTCCTTCATTTTCCTTGATCATTGTCTAGCAGCATTTCTAAAAGTTACTTTAAGCATCCCAGGGCAGGTTATGTACTATTGTACATACTTTCAATGCCAGCAAATGGTAAAAAAAAAAAGCCAGATATATGAATCTCTGATATATATGAGCTTGAGGTATACTAGTCTGTAACCACCCGAGCTGCCTCATGTTCTGCTGTAACCACCCATTCTGCTGCTCTGGTCCATAGGTCAGGGCCTAGCAAGAGAGAGAGTGGGGACAGAGACAGGAACAATGGAGACAAGACAGGGAGTCTGATCAAGTTTCTCCAAGTCTCATCTATTGAAAGGAAATCCTGGGTATTTATACCCTTTACCACATGCCTTGCCCTCGTGGACAAGCACAGCTGAAGGCACTATGTCATGTGCCTTGCAGCATCTCTGGATACTCAACAGCTATTGGTTGAGCTCCTGTCATAGGATGGTGAGGCCTCCCAGTTAGGGGCAAGGGTCTTGAGGAGTTCTCTTACCCGTCATTGACTATCCGGCTTAGCACGTAAGTTAGGGGTTAATCCTCATCAGTCTTGATGACAGAGGTTTTTGAGTCCCCTACTTCCAGCCTGTAATAAATCTAGATAAGTACAGAACTGATCATAGCTTTGATCTTAACAAAACAAGTAAGGAAATCCCTGTCCCTGCCCCAATCAATCTCAAACCCAAAAAAAACAACTGTAGTAACTGTGGTAATGGGTTCTCTCTTGGGTCTAAACAATGTACCCCACTAAATCATAAATCAGGGGACCAAGAGTCTAATAGAGTCACCTTGGAGGTGTGGGCGGTGATGTCTTCTTCTGCACTGAGAATTTTCCAAGTCAGGTATACTGGTTGATCCACTCCAGTGAAGCATCTTCATTTTTCCTGCAAAGAAAAAATATGCTTCCAAGGGGACTTCTCCTCCCTGGATTATTGTTGTCTATTTGTTTAATCAGTCTCTCTGGCAGCCAGCATGTGGCATCTGCCGTTTGAGAATCAGAGGAACCAAAGTATGCATCAGAGGAACCAAAGCCTTGATCCTCTCTCTTAGGACTCTTATATTTATGATTAGTAGGGATCAATGGAAATAAAAATAGTTGAGCTATTCTCCTTCCTGTAGGAATGGTGACTATGTTCTGTATTGCCTTGGCCATTACCTTAATCTCACCTTGACAATCACTGTCTATAACTACAGGAAAAATTTGTAGTCCCTGCATAGTAGCACTGCTTCTTCCCACTATCAGGCCAAACACATTTGGATAGGGTGGTCCAAACACTCCAGTGGGTAGGGCCTCAGGTCCCATTTCTGGTGTTAATACTGTGTGGGTGGCAGAACTGAGGCCCAGTCCTGCGCGTCCTGGTGTTGCTCGACTAAGTTCTGAAAGGGGTTGTTGTTTGCTGGTATGAAACTGACTGCCCCATAAGCCTGTTTTGGCTTGCATTGGTTTGGGGTCTGGGGCTGGCCCCTGTTCCCATTTCTCTGATTATGGGAAAGGGTGTTTCCTTGTGCATCTGTCTTGGACCTACATTCACTCGCCCAATGCCTTCCATGTTTGCAACATGGGCATAGGCCAGGATGTTTTCTAGGCTGTCTCTGGGTTAACTCATATTCTGCCTTGCAATCTTTTGCAAAGTGTCCAGGCTTGCCACATTTAAAACAGGCCTTTTTGTCTCTGCTTGGCAAAAAATCTCTTACTGATTGTCCATGTATGGCAGCTGCCATAACTAAGCCCTGTTGGTAAGAGGGCCCTATGTGAGAACAGAGTCTGAGATATCCAGTAAGGTCTGTCTTTTTCCTATAGGGTCTAATGGCCGCTTGGCAGGTACAATTGGCATTTTCATATGCAAGTTGTTTCGCATAATCTACACCTGCCTCTGCATTACCAAAAATCCTCCCTGCTGTTGTCATTAATCAATGAACAAAATCAGAAAATCTTTCATCAGGCCCTTGTCTGACTGAGGTCAAAGATGCACCAGGGTCTCCCTTTACCAGGAGTTTGAGCCAAGCCTTCATGGCTGCATTTTGAATTTGAGCAAATAAGCCTGGGTCATATTCCATCTGGTTATCACTAGAAACAAATTGCCCTTCTCCTACAAAGGCATCAAAGGACCAACCATTACCTGCCTGAATATTCTCCTAGATGTCTCTTTATAATTCTCATGATACTCTGATTTCCAAATAAGATAGTCACCACCACTAAGAACTGCTCTCACTAGAGTATTCCAATCACCAGGAGTCAGCCACTCCTCTGCAACAGATTCTAAAATTGCAAGAGTAAAGGGAGCAGTGGCACCATATTGTGCCACTGAATTTTTTAATTCTTTAATAATTTGAAAATTAAACCCTGTGTGATGTCTCCACGAAACCCCTTGAGCATCTCTAGTCTCTGATACAGGGACAACCTCAGCCTCTCCCTCCTCTGGCTGATCTGTGGCTGAACTGAAACCAGAGGACAGGGGCTACCTTTGGACTCTGGGTTGAGGAACTCGAGGACCTGGGGGATTTCTCTTGTCCTCTTGAGACCTCTTCCCTGTCTTTAATTTTTGTTGCTGATTAATTAAGTCCTGATACTCTTCCTCTAACTCTATTTGTTGTTTAAGAAGAGAAATTTGCTGCTTAAGGAGAGAAATTTTGTCCTGTAACTCCTTTCTGGGATCTACAACCACCATCTCCATAGCAGGAGCATCTGGAGGTGGAGGAGCAGAGGGAGGGGGTCTTCGGGAAGAGGGCCATTCTGGGTGATAATACTTGGCTGCCTCTTCCTCTAGGTCAGCATAATCTGGCTCTGACAAATTGATTACTTCAACCTTTGGTCCTATTTTGGATTCCATGCTTTTCTTTTTCTTTTGAACATGAAAGACAACATTTAAACAGCGAAACAAAAGCAGACAATTGACACACATAAACAGCAAACAACAAAACAAAACCAGAGAGTTGAGTTCAGGCTGAATTATTTCCTGACCCATTATCATTACTATGACCTACTGATCTCCACAGAGCAGTTTCCTGACGCAATCACCCCTGTTTCACTTCTGAAGTTTCAGTTGACCCTCCTTCTGGTAACATCCCTCACTGGGTTTCTCGTTCTTGCTGCCTCACATTGAGCGCCACTTTGTAGCAACCTGTTCAGGTCAGTCAGCAGGATCTCCAGCACAGTAATGAGGATGCACACTTCCAATTCCCACTGTGTCCTTCACTGTATCCCACTTACTGGAGCTTCAACTTTGAGGCACCACTTTGTAACCGCCCAAGCTGCTTCACGTTCAGGGGGTCCACTTTGTAACCACCCACTCTGCTGATCGGTCCGCAGGTCAGGGCCTAGCAAGAGAGAGAGTGGGGACAGAGACGGGAAGAATGGAGACAAGACAGGGAGTCTGATCAAGTCTCTCCAAGTCTCATTTATTGAAAGGAAATCCTGGGTATTTATACCCTTTACCACGTGCCTTGCCCTCGTGGACAAGCACAGCTGAAGGCACTACATCATGTGACTTTCAGCATGGATATCACGTGCGCCTAGCTAGAGTGAGGAGACCACGTGTGCCCAGCAGCGTGGAGACCACCTGCACCTAGCTGCTGGCGGCACTAAACAGCAAAACAAGATATGTAAGAAAAACAAGATGTCTATCAGAGTGTGCTCAGCTGTTGCAGGCTGTTGAAAACAAGTCTCTTGTCAGGGTATATGGCTCGAGATGGCTGTAAAGATGATAGCCTCTTTCGGCTAGGTGTTGGCTCCCAACACTCATCTCCATAGCAACATCCATTGCACAAGCCAAAACTCCAGAGTGAGGCCCAGTCATTTTTTCCCATTGACTATTTTATTTACATTTCAGATGTTATGCCCTTTCCCTGTTTCTCCCCTGACCCAGAAACCCCTTACCACACCCCCCTATTCCTGCTTCTATTATATGTATCCCACCTACCCACTCAATCCCATCTTCCCGACCTAGAATTCCCCCACACTGGGGAATCCACCCATCACGGAAGCCAGGAATTCCTCTCCTGCTTTTGCTTGACAAAGCCATCCTACATAACCTGGAGCCAAGGGTCAGTCGCTATGTTATCCCAGGCTTGTAGTTTAGACCCTGAAAGCACTGGTTGTTTGGTCATAAGAAAAAAACTATCAGTATACTTAGTGACTGTGTTGGCACATACCTGTGACCATGGCACTACAAAGAATTAGGAAGAGGGGTCTCAAACCCCAAAAAATAAGTTTAAATTTAGCCTTGGTTCTATAAGACACTATCTCTAGTATTTTCTTCTACCTAAAAAGAAGCCCCAGGCTCTGATTTTTAGGAAATAAAGAACAGCCATATTGCAAGCCCTCTCAGTATATAAATGTTGTCTGTGAGTCCTTCTTGCCTTTGTTCCATTGCCTTTTCTTGACTAAACTCCATTCATGCTCTTTCATCTGCTCTTTCTTTACATCCGTTTTCTCATCCTCCATCCACAGATCCCTTCTTTTTTTCCAAAGACTTATTTATTTAATGTATATGAGCACACTGTTGCTGTCTTCAGACACACCAGAAGAGGGCATCAGATCATATTACAAATGTTTGTGAGCTACCTTGTGGTTGCTTGGAATTAAACTCAGGACTTCTGGAAGAGCAGTCAGTGCTCTTACCCTCAGCCATCTCTCCACTCCCAGAGATCCCTTTTTTGCATTTGTTCTCTCAGAGCTCTCTGATTATTGCCCTCATTTTTGTTTCTTCTTTGTGTAGGATACAAAGGGAACCATAAAAAAGATCTGTGACTTTCTAGGGAAAAAATTAGAGCCTGATGAGCTGGATCTAGTCCTGAAGAACAGCTCCTTCCAAGTCATGAAAGAAAACAACTTGACCAATTTTAGTATCGTCAAAAAAGATAGGTTTCCTAATGGCTTGAACCTCATGAGAAAAGGTAAAGGAATTGTCTACCTTCACAACATATCAGAACATGTTAAGGGCTTGTTTTACCAATGAATCTCTAAGTAATCATTTGGAATGTACTGGCAGTCACTGCTCATCACTGATAGCTTCTCATGGACACTACAAAGTAATGGTTTATGGAAAAGATGTGGGACTTTTCACTCTGAGAAGTTGATTTATTCTAGGAGACAATCTTGGCATTGGAGATGGTCATGTCAAATAACTTCAACAAAAATGGGGAAAAGATCATGTTTCTAAAAGGCATTGTTAAGATCCCTGTATCAAAATCCTCAACTTCAATATATATAAAGTGTAATGGAGTAGGCCAAAGGTATATCTGAGATGTTAACCACAGAAATCACATTAGCATCTGGAAAAAATGTTGAACAGATCAAGATTGCTGCCCCAGAAAAGGCCAAAAGTAAACCCCAAAAGGACTACAAAAATTATCTAGTGTTAAAATCTGATGGTATTTGTCAACCTATGTTTAGATTACTTTAGGTCCATGATCTTTCTTTTCATTCAGAATTGTCTCTCCTAGAAGGGGAATTTCAATCTTCTGTATTTCTGTGCCACCTCTCTATGCCGGGAGCAGATTATGTGTGTGATCTCATAGCTGTGCAGTTATGGAGTGATTTTGCTAGCATGAATCAGAGTTTGAGCCTTTCTCAGACCTGATAAGGTAATGATGGGTGAGATAGAACTCAGAGTAGAAGAAGGAAGGTGTCAAGAATGAGATATTTAACAATGACTAAAAGCGTTGGTTTAAGTGATAGAAGTAAACAGTTGTAGGTATAATTTTCTTTACCCATAATTTAAATGATTCAGCCTTTACCTTTAGTCCTCCTCTCCATTGTGTGAGATTTGGATACTAAGAATATAAGGATATCAGGAGTTTTCATAGGTAAAATGAAGTCAAAGTAATTACTAGATTGAACTTAACCCAATACTCTAGGTATCCTCAAAACAGGAAATTTTGAAACAGATTTAGGCATAATGATATGTCACCACTCACCATGAGAAAATTGGTATCTATTCACTAAAGATCAAGTCCTCTTTAAGCATAGACTGCTATTGCCATATGCCCTCAGACTCCTGCAGCCCAGACTCTGTGGAGATATTTTTCTCTGCACTAGAACTGAAGGTCTGTGGTGTGTTCTTAGATTTTCTAAAATGAATCAGAATTTGGCAGAGGTAAAACAGTATAGAAACAAAAAAAATCTGTTATTAAGTACCTAAAGGAATGAAGAAGCTCTGCTAATAGCAAAGGGATAAGGAAACTGACAAGCTAATGCTTTAGCAGAGACACATCAGAGCAGATGAAATAGAATTTAAGACAAAATTCCATGAGGATAATTATTGTTTCTGCTTTTCCAGGAAGATTCTCCTAGGATGAAAACATACTTGGATTAAATCTCTTCCAAATACACACACTATTTGTCATGTAGGTTAGTTGATAGGAAGAATCCATGTATACATATATTCATTCATACATGCATACATACATACATACATGCATACATACATACATACATACACACATACATAAGAACAGTAATTATCATATAGTTATGTGAAAATATTGATCAGACTTAATAAGTCTTTTGTAATTTAATTATCCTAGTGATTTTATGTAGTAAACTTTTTTTTCCATTTGAAGACAACTTTTATTTTGGGGGATTATTTTTCTTATACTAGTATGGCACATAGCTAGCAAGCCACGTACCTCTGGAAACCAGGTCATTGGTGGGGGACACCAACTTCCTTACTCACTTGTATCACTACTTCACTATAGGGAATGATGAAATGGATACATCTGGAAACAATTTTGAAAGAAAAAAGTATATAAAGATAACCTTTGTTTTCTCAATTCCTATATCAGATTGGTACCATTTTTGAATTCTTAAAGTATGAGCAAATCGAAGATTAATTCTAAAACCAGTTTCAATATTTATCATTGGATAACCTAATTCCCTAAATTATAAAATGTTAAAAAGCTATACTAAGTGGTAGAATTGCCTTAGCCAGAAGGAATAAACTAGACCTATTTTCCTGTATCCTCTAAATGTTTTTCTTCTCAAGACTCAAGTAAAATATCTTTTATTGTCTCTGGAGACCTGCTTTGTCAGCATTATCTGGAAGACTCGATCATTCAAGTAGGTGAGATGAATCTAGTTTTAACCTCCAAGCAGTAATATTTGACATGCAATTGAAGTCACGGTAATTCCATATTTAGACACTGAAGTAAATGCATAGTAGGGAGATGATCACTCTCAATCAGCCACAATTTCATTAACAAGAATTTTATAAAGGCAACACCACAATCAGGACATGAGTAGGAAATATCTTCTGACAAACCTCAAAAGTCTCAGCCTTGATTACTTCACAGTGTATGTTTACTAGACACAGTACTTGGCCCATTAATCAATTTCACTGGTATTATCAGAAGACGGTAATCAGACACATAAAGGGAAGGTGACATAAGGACAAAGGAAGAAGCCTGCCATCTTCAGGAAAAAGAAAAGACTCCAAGGTCAGGAAAACACCCTGATGTGAGACCTTCAGACCGACGAGGAGTTATTTTTCAACAAGAGTTAAACCACCACACATTAAGGTTATTCTGCCAGCTGACACACAAGAGTTTGGGGAGATTTTTAGAGAGAAAGACTGAAAATAAATTTATATCTATAAGGTGAACAAGACTTTGAAATAGGTGGATTTAGAATACAATGTGTATACCTCCAAACATGTGGTTTTCTCAGATAGACTAATTTATTACATTGGGAAGACATATTAAATCTGTAGAGGTTCTTGTAGTCCAGCATCTATCTGATTCGGCTTATCAGGATCCCGGAATGCTGTACAAAACAATAAGAAAACATGTTCTATTAATGAAGAAAATAAGGAACATTAGAGTAGCAATGGATACTGATAGGTACCCATGACACATTGAAATTCATTTTAAAAATTACATTTTTATGAATTCTTTTTATTTTCTTTTTAAAATTGGATATTTTATTTATTTAGAATACAGATGTTATCCCCTTTCCAAATTTCCCCACACTAGAACCCCTTATCCCATCCTTCCTCCTCCTTTATGCTTTTATATGATTTTGATTATATGCATGTATTAAGGTCAGTTCTAGGTTGAGGGTCTAGCAATACAATACATTACAATACAATAGATGCAAATAGTTAAGGAATAAACAAAATACAAACACAAATAGTCAAAGAGAAAGCAAGGCATTAAATCCAATTACATGAACACTCCCATGATCACTGTTTCTAAGGTATTATCAGGATGACCAAACTAACAGAGCCTGCTTCACTGTCTTAGCCCAAGGTCATTTTCATGCCTGAAGCCTACTTCCCTTTTCTAATCTAAAATTTAAATTCCTGCCTGCAGTAACTTATTTGTTCTAGTCTAAGACTTAGATCCCTACCCGAAATTACTTCTTTGTTCTAGCCTAATGTCAGATTTCTGCCTTAAGCCTCCTTCCTTCTCCTTGACCAATGTCATATTCCTGCCAAAGAGCCCATTTCCTTGTACTTGGCCCATGTCAGATTACTGCCAAGCAGCCCCAAAGGCTTTCTGCCTCTCCCCCTTTTTATTTCATTAACAAGACTGACCCTGTCTTAGGTCGTTCTGACAAGAATACCTTTCTTACCCATCATGGAATATGCATTACCAAAAGAAATGCACTTCTGTCTTAGGTTGGTAAGGCTCTTGGCAGAAACTTCCCAATCCTTGGCTTGAAAGCCTGTTAATTTGATAACTCTATCTGGGGGTAAATTTTCAGTTTCAGGTCATGTACTTGGTTGCCAACGTGTTGATGTTGTTGAGGAAAAGCTTTAACACAATTGGCAAGGAATAAAACTATTCCCAGGACAAAAAGGGTTAGCATGATCAAGCTATATACGCCATTCTTGAAGCTTGACTAAAACAGAAATATTGACCTCAGGCCATGGATAATTTTATCTGTACTATCTACCATATTAACACTCAGCAGAGCAGCATTCTTGAAATTTATAAGCTCCCTATGGATCATTAAAACATCCAGAGAGGTGTTAGAACTATGCCAAATACACTGCCCGTATCATTAAATTTATTCCTAATTTTAATGACTACCACTGTAAATTTTAGAACTAGCATGAATCCAATGGTATTTGGCATGACACTCAAGACGGTTCCTTATCCTTAAATTCTGAACTTCCTTCCAGTAATTTAAATAGGATAAAAGCATCAAACTGTTCTCCTAAATGCCTATCTAAATCCACTGGTACATTCAACTCATTAGTAACATTTTTTGCCAAATGATTAACAAAAGTAAGTGTCTTAATTTCTTTTGTCACAGCAATTGCAGAAGCAGTGGTACTAGCAATTAATGTAATTAAAGCTGTTATACCAGCAATAATCAAGCCCACTACCCTCATGCTTCTGCTTAAAGCCCGACTCATTTCTTGCAATACTTGCAAGCTATCTTTAGAATAACAAGGTTCTGTGATACTCAGGGCACTAAGACAAAATCTGGATGATAGACCTCCATAACTGACATGCCAGATTTCAAATCACAAACACAGTTAGAAGGTGTACAATCAATGCAACATACATTACATACTGTAGAAAAAACAAAAGTATTTTTAACTTGACAATTAAAAAAGCCTTAACACATGTGCTAACACCTTTTTGAAATCCAGATCCAGTGCCAACTTTATCTCTTGCTAACATAACATCAGAGAGAACTGCAGCTAATTTCCATATATGTCTCTGAAAATGTCCAGAACCAGACTTCCAAATAAGGACCGTTATTTCAATACTGGATTGATTTCTAGACCAGTACATGATTTAGTTTGAATAACTGGCCACATTTAAGAAAAATACTAGAGTCATTATGACTTCTTTTATTGATTCTCTCTTCCAGAAGATCTAAAAACTTGAGGCAGGGCAGCTTTTTCCATCAGGGGTATAAGTAAGCAATGGTGGGTCAGGAA